TTTTGTAGTAGCAAAATAGCGACTGTTTTGGGACTGTATACTCGTGGTCGCAATAAAGCGACTATATTGTGACAGGATGACTATGGTCACAAATTAGCGACTACATTGTGACAATATCTATGTTGTCGTAAATTAGCGACTATTTTGGGACGATATGTTTCTGTCGCAAAGCAGCAACGAATTTGTGACTACGTAAGGTGGTGGGAAAATAGAGACTAAATAGCGACAAGATGGGAAGTCGTTAAATTGTTACTAATTTGTGACGACTAATGTAGTCGTAAATGAGCGACCTATTAGGGACTCTTTGAAATATCATGTCTAGTCACAAAATAGTCACTAAAGTGTCACTTGGTAGACACTAATTTGCGACTCCTTTGATTTTTTTTTTGTCCCTTTATAGGCAAATTCAGTTGCTAATTTGGTCATTTTTTGTCACTTAAAACACATATATTTGTGTTTTGATTTGAGAAACCTAAATCAAAAGAAGAACTTAAAATCTTTAAACTACAAAAGATTAGCATAATAACATAAGTTTGAAAGCATAACAACATAAGTTTGACAAGAGAAGAAGTTATTAAGTTAGGAGAGTACAAAAGATTATAACATAATAAGTTTTTTAAAAAGACAGAGTTAGAAAGTTTGAGAAGCAAACTTTCAAGTGTTGTCTTCAGCTTGAGGAGCTTGAGGTGTGGTTGTGGCTGGTGCAGAAGCATCCAAGGTAGAGGAGTCAGTCATTAGTGTCAAGACCAACGATCCGTTTGTTGGGCTTTAGGTGAACTTTTTTGGTGTACGGGCGAGTCGCCATTGACACGTCCGCTCCAAAAATAGACATTCTTTTTCGACAAGACCAACGACGTGTCTGTTGGGTTTCCAGATGATCAATTCGGTTTACGGACGAGTTGTCTTTTAACGAGTCCGCTCCATAAATGAACATGTTATCGCGTTGCGACCAACGATTTGGTTGTTGGATTTAGAATGATCATTCTGGTTTACAGAAATGTTTCAAATAAATATCTCCGCTCCTATAATGAACATATAGCGATATAACCAGTGATTTTGCTTGCTGGGTTTAAAATGAACATCTCGGGTTACGCGTGCATTACTCTTTGAACACACCCACTCGATAATGGTCATATACAAATTTGTATAGCGCGCTTTGAAATCCTACTGAGGATGTAATAGTCAGATCTAAACTATATGTAAGAGTTCGTTGCTGTGGCCAGCAACAACGAGAGTGAAATAAGACGTCTATTTTGTTAAGACTTAAGTAATCCGTATAGGATGTGATTGAGATGCCTGATTTGTGAAAGCTTTAGTATTCCATAAAGAATGTGAGTAGGACGCCTGTTTTGGTAAGGCTTTAGTAATCCACAATGGATGTGAGTAAAATGCCTACTCCCTCTTTTTTTTTTAAAGGAGGACAAGGTGTTATTAGTTTTGGCAAGGTAACCCCAATGGTCTCGGCTTATGTTGTTGAATCGAGGTGAAGACGAGGTAGACTCGAGACGTGGTAAGGCAGCGATGAGATTAGAGTATATTCGCCTCGCTGGGTTCGACGCGGTATGCAGGAGACGAGGANNGAGTTGACTCACCTTGATGGATTCAACGCGGTATGGGAGCGATAAGGTTAGAGTTGATTCACCTCGCTGAATTCGAAGNGGTGTGGCGGCGACGAGGTGAGAGTGGATACTCTTNGCTGGATTNGACGTGGNGTGGCGGCGACGAGGTGAGAGTGGATTCACCTCGATGGATTCGACGCGGTGTGGCGGTGACGAGGTGAAAGTAGATTCACCTCGATGGATTCGACGCAGTGTGGCGGCAACGAGGTGAAAGTTGATTCATCTCGCTAGATTCGACGCGGTACGGCGGCAACGAGGTGAGGCTGGCGCGCAACCGTGGTGAGGCTGCCGCGCAAATGAGGTGAGGCTGCCGCACAACCTAGGTGAGGCTGCCGCGCAACCGAGGTGAGGCTGCCGTGCAACCGAGGTGATGCTGCCGCGCAACCGAGGTGAGGCTGCCGTGCAACCGAGGTGAGGCTACCACGCAACCGAGGTGAGGCTACCACGCAACCGAGGTGAGGCTGCCGCGCAACCGAGGTGATGCTGCTGCTCAACCAAGGTGACAGTGCCGCGAAGCCGAGGTGACAGTACTGTGAAGCTGAGGTGAAACTGCATAATCGAGGCGAGGCTGGACTCCTTGGCTTTGGTTACAATAAAGAGATGTGGATTTGAAATCAAGGTGTAGAGCTTTGTCAAAGTGTGGTCGAGGTGGATAGCGACGAGGTGAGACCAAGGTGGCAACGCGTTACAGCAGGAAAAGTCGACGAGGCTAGCACAACTGAAAAGTTATGCCAAAGTGAAAGTAAAACTGAAAAGTTACGCCGAAGTCGATCGAAGCCGAAGAAGTGACGTCGCAGGGGTCGACATCGCAATCCTTGACGCTGAGACAACGTGGTGAAGTACAACGTGGTAGAATCGACGTGGTACAGTGTTGACGAGTTGAGGTGGTGAAATGGAGACAACGTGGCCTAGCGTTGACAAAGTTGAGGCCATTGTTGACGAGGAGGCGGTAATTTAAGATCCGTTGAGCTCGTCAAAAGGTTTTCG